GATTGAATAGAGGAATCAACACCATATTATGACACTACAAATTATGTAAATTAATTTATTTAGCGCGCAAAGTCCTTTTATGTTGAATTATTATATATGTATCTATCCCGACAGTAATGTGATCTATTTAAAATTAATTGTTACATGAATATGCATATACCGGTAACACAAATATGCCGCCGGCCAAATGATCGACATAACCTGGCACAGATTTCTTGCTTGCAAAAAAATTATTGATCTTCTTGAAATTCTCAAACGATATCTATAATTAAAAATATAATTACTAAATTTTAAAATATATTAATCGTTACAAATTATAATGAAATCAGATTAAACTGAAATATAAATTTCTATTTAATCCTCTAAAACCTATTTATACTTTATATATATTTATTTTAATCTGATTTCATTTTAATTCATTATATTAATTACTTTGTAGCCACATAAGCCTCTGTACTATCAGTAACAATAGCACATACTTTAATATTCATTAACTCTAATTCAAGAAGCATTGATTCAGTTTTATTTATAATATCTTGATATTTTTCACATTCAGAACTAATATCAATGGCTTTTCAAATATAAGGCTTTCCTTTAGATGATAATAAAACTGTTTCTAGAAGATGCTCATTCTTTATATTCATCCTAAGTTACATCTATCTGATCTTTTTTTTAAAGCGATTTCTATATTTTTGTTAGTATCATTAACAATTTTAGTTAAAACTTGATTGCCTAGTATTCAACGATCCGGAAGTACAAGAAGTGGATTTAAAAATTTATAACATTCTTTAACTTTAGGATTATTTACTCAAGATAAAGACTATCTACAAGAAATTGTCATTCTAAGCAAAAGCTTGTTAAATTGTTTAGCATTTTTTTTTAATAAAGCTCGAACAGTATAGTTGTCTATTGGACCATAAGGTTCTGAATAAACTACTACTTTTCGAGATATATCTGAAGATCATTTATCTAAAAAAAAGATAAGTAAATTTTATATTTACAGATATAAATTATAATTTATACTGTATTGTATGCATACAGTATATTTTTGTTTTATAGATAAATTGTTATCTGGCATTAATTCAAATATTTCAGCTCATTCTTCAGCTGTAGTTACATTAAGAAAATGTAAATATTTTTTAAATGTGCTATGATTCAGTCATTTTTATTAAGAAAATAGATCTCATTTCCTTTTTTTCTCCCAGAGCATTAATATAATATTTGCAATAAGTTTTTAGATTACTCTGATTAATTTTAATATTAGATTTTACAATACAATTATTTAGTAAAGAAAGCAAGAGCAGCATTGTTAAGTTGATAAAAAAATACAAGTGAAAATGCCTCAATATATAGCTGCTGTTTGTTATCATTATATATCGAAGCTATACTAGAATTTTTTTTTAATTCTAGTATTTTTATCACTATTTTCAAATATGAATTCTGTGAATTTCATGAATTCTGTATATTACTATTGTTAAAACAATGATAAATGCAGAATTTATGGATTTATAGAATTTGTTGATCAAAAACAGCAATAATTACCCAACCAACAGGTTAGATAAATATTAATTATGCAAAATATATAATTTAGTATTGAAAATGGCAATAATTACCCAACCAACAGATTGGAAAAATCTCAACTTATGCAAGATAAATATTAATTATACAAGTAAATATAATTATATAATTTAGGATAAAAAAATTCAAACCTGATTTGTAACTAGTTTTTTGATTTTTATCATTTAAATCAAAATCAATACATATTACAAATTTAATACAGATAAATTTACCAAGTGGTCAAAATAGCAAAAGTATTCTGTGGTGGCAGTAATTATAATTATATTGGAAGTTATCAAAGAAATAATTGACCCTATTTGCTAAAGTATAACTTAACTTTTACTTTAAAGATTGTAAGAACTTTTTGTCTTCTGCACTAATAGACTGATTTTTATTCTTAGATTTGTTTTTCTTCTAATATAAGTATCAGTACTACAAAAAAAATCTGTTATGGGCTTTTAGTTATACCAGATCTATTTATTAAAGATTGTATTCAGTACAAATATAACTAAAAGCCCAATAACAGGTTTTTTTTTGGCAGCACTTTTATATTTTTAACATGTGAAATTATTTTGCTAAATTCTTAGATTTGTTTTTCTTCTAACACCATCAGCAAAATTTTTAAGCAGATATATATCAATATATAGCAGTTAATCGATATATATCGATTAAAAATTATCGAT